GGCAATAATCCCTGGATATACTCGCTTCTCCGCTTTCTTCTTTCTTTTCTCAGCCTTCCAGAGTGCACGGTAAACACTGTAGCTAAGTGCAGACAGGTAAACCTATACCACGGTTTAATTTAATTTCGCACTTTCTTTCGTGCGATCTTACTGAACGGAGTAAATTGCGCAAAGCAAATAGAAATTATCCGCGTTCGCGTTCCAGCTCGAAATTGAAACGGTGACGACACGGCCAGCGTTCGCCTTTCAACTTTCAAAGTGATCCGTGTACGTTTGCCATATATTAAACGTTTCTAAACCCGATTTTCCTAGACCAGGAAATTATGAAACGCCGTGTACATCGGAAAGTTGGGTGAATCGATAGGATAGAAAGCGAAAAAGCTGGCACGTCTCGTTTCGAAGTCTCGATTCGTATAAGCCCGGCGAAAGTGTCGGGAGACAGGGATCGGTTTCACGAGGACACAATGGAACATCGCGCGTGATAGAAGCTACGAAGCACGTAAACAATTACCGAGCTGTTCCTCGAAACTTGCTTCCTCAGGAAGGCCAGTGCCAATGCGAATGCCCGTGGTATATTGCGGTTCGCGAGTGTGACACAGCAGCATTGTTCCACGGATACGTGACTTCCTCGTATTTTTCAATCACTAGGCCGCACCACGTGCTGTTCCGCACACGTTTAGTATTTTTCCAGAGCATCGTTATAACTTTCCGCTCGAGAGACCTCCGCCGAAGGCGTGACTGTTCGACGTTCGTTTGTTTCTCCGAACAATCGACGTTACTATAATAACCGAGCTTTTCAACGCAGCCACTATTACCCAAATAACGGAATTACCAGAGAAACTAGCCACGTTATTTCGTTAACTCGAATCGTACAAACGTACTCGTAGGTAATACCTACCTGGTAAAACGTTTTTCGCCAAACTCGAGTATTTTCTTCTCGAAAATGAAGCGAAGTTTAAATAATAGGTAGTACTCCTGGTAAAACGTTTTTCGCCAAACTCGAGTATTTTCTTCTCGAAAATGAAGCGAAGTTTAAATTATTTTTTACTTTTGTTTACTTCGTATCGTGATATGTGACACGTGTAATAACACGCGTGCATATTATAACACGCGCAACCGTGTATCTAAGAAGTTAATTTCAAGTAATTTCGCATTATCCAAGTGCAGTAGTCCGTTTACTCGGAGTGGACATTGCAGAACAGGTAGTAATCAGCAGGGTTGAACTCGAGGAACTGTAATAAATTACTCGCTTCTTCCAGAGTCGAATGATCATACGGTCCGTTTAAATTTGCCAACAATCAATATCATTGCAGTAGCTAATAGGGGTAAACTCGGGAGAAGATAGATCGTACTATCCGGATGTAATTTTTCCGAACTCGAATCGGCGTACACTTTGCCTCTACTCACAATTGGCATCTCTGTGGTAATTAGGAGGTATAAATCTACGAAATCGCAATAAATCACGCGATCTATTTAAATGTTCAATTTAAATTCTTCAAACCTGAGTCGACGTAGGTTTGCCTGTATCGGCGTTCCTGTAGTACAGCAACCGATAAGGGTAAACCGGGGGAATCGTAATAAATCGCACGATCTAGCCAATCAGAATTTTTCGACACACGGGTCGGCATACAGCCGGTTACCCTTTAGCCAATAATCGATATCGACTGATAAAGATAAATCCGAGGAAAAAATAACAAACACTATAAATCGCGATAGATCTATCGAAACACGGTTCCCTCGAACTTGAAACGACCTGTAGCTCGCCCCTACCCACGATCTACGCTGCTATTCCATGGCAACCGATAAGCACAAGCCGAAGAAACCGCGGTAAATCACAGGATCTAGCCAAACGCGATTTTTCGAAGGTCGGATCGACACGTACCACTCGTGACTCGGACTTGGCGTAAGGGAACGATAAAAGAAGCAGAAATCCCGATAAACCACACCTCCCCGGCGCAAAAACAGTAAAACTCGATTCCGAAAGGCTTTATCTCGAACAAGCAGAAGTTTCACGGTTTAGCGCCAACTGCCTCGGACTCCTCCTATTCGCGTATTTAATAAAACCGATACGGCGAAGCGAAGGTTCGCGTATGTCCGACGTTTCGATAAGTCCGCCAATATATTTCACCCGACGCCGAAAAATGCGCGGCCGCTTCACAGCCGATACTATTCCGCCCTCGTTCCAGCCGTTCGCATACTCGCCCATGGGTGTGTACTATCGGAATGCGTTGAAACATTGCGGCCACGAGGCGGTCGGATTAAATCTTGATACATTGCCGCTATCCACGCGTAAAATTCGCGCGCGCGTGCGCCAGTGCACGCACGCACGCACACACGCGTGTGCAGTCTCTCCGGGAACGAAAACGAAAACGAAAAGGCCCGGCAGAGAGAGAGAGAGAGAGCGAGAGAGAGAGAGAAAATAAAAAAATAGATAAAAATGGAAAAAAAGGGAGAAGAAACGGAGAGAAGGAGAAAAATAGGAAAAGAAAATGGTGATTTATCGACGACGAGGACCGATCGTCGATAGCGTACGTTCTATCGTAGCGAATTACTAAGTGGCCACTTGTCCGCCACGGTTCCTCGTACATGAATTATTCCATTCCGTGACCGGTCGTCGCGCGTCCGCGCCGGCTAATTGTCGCTTTCCCCGTCGACGAGCAAAATCGCTCGTTAGCGGTTACATCGATCCTCTCGAGCGTCGCCCGTGGCCCTCCGCTTCGATCCCTCGATCCCACGCGAAATTCGCCAACCACGTTCACCGTGTTATCTAACCGACGCGCTAACCCGGGCCCGCCGTTGACTTTCCTTTATGTAAGCGGCCGGTTTCCGTGATGTCACCGTTTGCGCCTTATTTTCCTCCGCCCCCGGTTCTCGCCGCCCAACCTAACCTGTCGGCTACCTGGACGAGCGCGGAGCGTCGCGATGTCCGATTGCGTCACCGCGCGTCGTTCGAACGGGGCGTGTACCGTGGCACGAGCGTGGTTTTTGCGTCCGAGGAGCATCGACATTGTCGTCGGTAGCGTCTATTAGCGTGACAGCACGCGACCCAGAGTCTACCGAGCGGGCCCAGCCCGATCGGGGCTAACGGATTTCGTGCCGCGACGAATGTCGCGTGCCAATGGGGCCCGCCTAGCGATCGTGAATCATAGTAATTACGTATACATGCCGTGACTGGCTGGTCGCGATCGCGGAATTAGAAGTGGTCCCTTTTGTCCCGTTTGTTCCCGAAGATTCCACGCCGCAGCCCCTGGCGCAGCCTCCAGGACCACGCGTCTGTAGTTCCTCTTCGTGTCAGCCTCTCAATGAAGCGTTCGTTAATTGGAGCTACCGTATCGATTACGTAAAGCCTCGGGCCCCGCGAGCGTGTACTCGCGGCCAGGTTATAATTAGTACATTCCTTTTCGAGCAGTCACGAGTAGTCACGAGTAGCGAGGAGGTCGAAGAAATGAGCCCCGGTTGCCTAGCCGCGGTTTCAGATACCGGGCTAAACGGATAAGTAGGCTGAAGGCGTAACGAACTGGAACGAAATTCTATTAGCCGTGTACACAGCGATATGTCGCGAGGCTGTCGTCGCGATAGCTTCCAGCGTACCCGTTGGTACGCGCGAGTGCGCGTAGGTATGTATATACGCGAGGTCGGTGAAATGCTAACGATCCAGGGGTGGTTAGATTCGGAAGCCGGGAAGGAACGGAGCTAATCCCTGAGCGGGAAGAAAGGACGGGGGTGCCGGGAAAGAGATATTGGAACGCGTGTCATTCGTCAGCGTCGAAAGGGAGACAAAGGCGGCCGGTGCCGGCGTGTTCCATCGGATAATAGAATAGCAGGCGAACGGGGGTACCGGAGGAACGCAGAACGCGAACACAGACCGAAAAAGGAGCAACTAGCAAAACGCAAGGACGCGCGTATACGTTACCATGTCGTGTTCTCATAATCGATTAGCCGTCCGCGAGAGGAGGAATCCTTTTCTGTAACCCAACGCGTCTCTGATCCTTCTCTGTTTCGCTGCGGAGAGAGGCAGCCGAAGCATTTAGGACCGCCTGGCCTTGCGAACGCCTACGTTCCAGACCTTTGTCTCGCTTCCAACAGCCTCGCTGTGGAGCGTCCACTCGTCGCGGTGGCATCTCTCCGCCGCGGCTCGGCTCGTCTCGTCTCGTCTCGTCTCGTCTCGTCTCGTCTCGTCTCGTCTCGTCTCGTCTCGTCGTCGGGCCGATTTTATTGTTGGCGTATATCCGTCCCGGCGCTGTTGGACGTATATACGCGTCTACCGTGTTCGTGCTGCGGGGCGGTGAGGCCACGTGAAATTGAAAGTTAGCGTGGGTCGATAGCTACCGCCCAGACCGGTCCAAGTTTACTTGGGCATTAAGTTAGCGATTGGCCCGAGAAAATATCACCGGACTGTGAACGTTATGGCTGGAGCTGGAGCGCGCGAGACCGCGCGGAAAGTCGCGAGTTTTTGGCCGGATTTTTCAACGGGTACCCGACACTAGATTTGCCACAACCACGAGGATGCTTCCCTTGAACCGATCGTAATTAATTAAATAATTTATAGCCACGAGACGAACGAAGGACGATGATGCCTGGTATGCGAGCTTTTAAGGGCAACGGGCAATTAACCGCGTATAATTAAAGCTGGCAGACTAATTAGCCGGGTATGTTAATATTAATTGCTGCCTGCTCGATTTTTTCGTCTACCCCTCGAACGCGATTCCCATGATCCCACTCTGTCGATACCTTTGACTTTCCACCCGAGTGTCTCCGCCATCTAAGCGAGCTTCGCCGAGGATTATCTCTCGTTCCAAATCGGCCACCTCGAAGCCGCTTCCCGTCTGGATATTTCTCGTTTCGCGTTTACCGGTCCGAACCGACGACTCCTATGGTCTATAGGTCGACTCGGGCGACGAAATTCCGTTGGCGAATCGAGAATTCGCGAGCTCGGAAATTCGCTCGTGCAGATGCAACTGGTTTACACGGAAGTCAATGTGGTTCTTGTTCGATCACAGGTCACCGGTCAATTATTGGACACGGAGTTTCAACCGACGGTTACAGCGACATGCAAGGCCGGACACATGACGATACGAGTGAACCTGAATCAGAGTTTCGTGGGAGCTGTTCACGCCAGAGATTTTCGGACGCCGCAGTGCATGGCGCCCGGAAACGGCTCCACGCACGCCACCCTCGCCATTAATCTTCTCGCGCCCAAAGGTTCTCCGGATTACTGCGGCGTTCTGGTAAACAATGTAAGCAATTCCTCCATTTCGTTCATTAAAATTCAAATCGTGCTGCGCGTAACATCTCCGATGGGAAAACAACTAATTACCGAAAGCCGCGTGTTTCTGCGCGTCGGAAATGGGGTCAGGTGAGACAAATGTTTCATTACTTTCGCTTCCAAGTTCACCCCCTATTCGTGTACGCATCTAAAGAATTTCTTCGTTCACCGCCCTCGGAAATTACGAAGTAATTTTTCGCTATCGCGATCAGAGGAATAAAATGAAATAAAATATCAACGGACGGTGAAAGTAAACACAGTGGCAGAGATTGGTTAATTTCACACCTGGCTTGTAACGAAAGTCTCGGTAGATCTTAAGAAATTCGGAATACGTAATTATTCATCTCACTGGCGATGGGAAAATTGTGAAAGGTAAACTTGGAAATACTCTCGATACGATCTATCGATACCAGGAACAAGGATAAATTCGCGATTGCCAGAATTTTCGCGGCGGTATTCCGTTAGGCTAATGGCGTCGCGACTCGGGGTTCGAGAAGACCTGTGCCGCATAACCTCGCTTATGAAACGATATCTCGAGTATCGGGACGAGACACGACGCGTTCGACTCTCGTTACTTTGCACGATATTATCGGTATTCTGTTCTTCAAAAGCCCGTACTGCCTTCGTTAAACGTGCTCGCAGCAAGTTCCCCTTAATTCCGTTGTAATTCTCGCAGGACACCGAGGAGCGCTCCATCCCCATCGCGGTGAGGATACACAAGACCCTGGAGCTGGCCGACGATAAATTCTACGTGATCACGTGCGGAAAAGCTGGATTCAAAAACGCCAAGTACGTGTAACAGTTTATTAATATTAGCCTGTATCTCGGGGATATCCGCGAGATAGAGACTAACCGTGGCTCCGGAGAAAGACCTTAATGCCATGGGACACGATAATTTCTCTGCCCAGGAACGAGACCTCGTTGGTGTCGTTGCGCCTTTTGGACGGAGGCCACAAAGTGCAAGAGGCTATTTATGGTCACAACTACACTTTGCGTGCGGAGATCTCGCGACCAGATGGTTCGTACACGGCATCTCTCACTCCGTTTCACCCCTTACGTTTAATTGGAATTAACGAGCGCGCGTAACGCGTGAACGCGCGGTCGCGCTGACGCGTTCTCATCGATCTTTCTCGTTGCAGGAATGTACGGAATCAAGGTAAAGTCCTGCTTCGCGTTCAACAAACGAAACACCAGCGTGCAGCTGATCGACGATAAAGGGTACGTTCTATATCCCACGTCTTTTCCTCTTCGTCCCCTATCGTGTTCCATATTACGCTCAACGATTAGCCTAAAATCGGTATATTCGGTATTGCTTTCAAACGAAAGGAAATTTTGACAACTTTCGATCCACGATTAAATTTTCGTCGTCTTAAACGACAGCGTATGATTCCGATTAACGCGTAGATGTGCTTTAAAAAATATAGGTGCGTGATCTAGCAACGAGGTAAAAATTCGACGCTACTCGTTGATTACGTGACGTATGAATATCCATGAGACATACCGATCCGTCGAACTCTCCCGTTCGTACATACGACTAAGCGTATGTGCCGTGTTACGTAAAGTCGTCCGATTCCCCATTGCCGAATCGATCGGCGATAATTCGAACGGACACCGGGTTGCGTAATCCGTGATATGAATTTTGTACGATTCGAACTGTCACGGACCGATCACGATCATAACCGGTTGCGTAACGCTCCGTTTTCCATTACAAAGGTGTCCCGTAAAGGCTCGGGTCATGACGAAATTCATCTACGATCGGAACACCGGCCTGGCGGATGCGACATTGTTCTCCATGTTCCGGTTCCCCGACAGTCCGCAGGTGCATTTTCAATGCGACATCGCCGTGTGCAGAGGTAAACCGATTCGTTCAATGATTTCCGATTACCGACCTCCTCGGATCTGGGTTACAGCGTGCCGTTCAACTCCACCGTCAATTAACGTGTTCCCTCGAACACTTTCGTCGAACGTTGCCAACGAGTCGTTTCAAACGTTCCAATGTCAGTTCGTGCCCATAATTACTCTCGATCTGCCGTTTAATACGGGATCTAGCAGTTGCACGCAAAATACTTAATGTCGTCATCGTGTACCCCGATGATACTTTACACCGTTTTCGTGTCAACGCGTTGACACCATTCGTACGGAAAAATTCTCGTATAACGACCTCGTCGTATTCGTTGTAACGAAGAAAATTGCACGAATTATGTTCTTATCCGTGACAAATTCTTCGATTCGCACGAGTTTTCCTACCTTTTTGCAAATTAAGTTAAACTTTGTCGAAGATATTATCCAACTGTGCGGATAATCTCGTAGATCGGAAAATTAGAAAGTTTGATTACTCCTAGAGAGGTAAACGAACGAACAATTAAACGAATTCTCGGTGGAGTATTTGCAATCAGGTTTTCGTGCCACTGTCATTTTGAAGTAGACTCGAAAACGGTTTTTTCCACCGGTCGGGCTGACGTCGAACGGTAAATAACGCGACGTAGATAACAGGTGAAATGCAAACGGTTTATCTTCTTTCCTCCAGGAAGCTGCGGCATCCCCGTTTGCGAAGGCGATAACGAGGAAGATATAAAGGGAGCGTCCTTAATTAATGGGCAAAGCGTGAGCGGCGAGGAAGGAGTGCTCCTGGCTGGCACGAGTGTGTTCGTTCTTGACCCTGGTCAAACGCCATGTAAATATCGCACTGTACTTTTCATACTGAACCCTCTCTTCCTGCTCCTCTTCGCGATACCTTCGCGATTAAGCCTATCCCGCTCATCCTCTCTAGCGGAACTTTTGCTTCGAATATTGAATTAATTAGTCGGATCGTCGGGATTCTCCGTCTCTGATCGTCCATTTGCTCTCGCGTTCTTCGAATAGCATGCTACGAGACTCCTTTATTTAGATTTTCTATCGAAATTGCTACCGCGCAGAGACGGTATCGTGACTGAACGTGCGTTCGAACCCTAGCGCAGTACCGTCTCAGTCTCACCGGTACCCGAGATGAACAAAGCGCGATTGCATCGCGTGTCGTTGTGTTTGGTAGCGTAGATAAACGCGGTTCAGTTGCACGGTGTTTCTCCAAGTGAACTGAAATAGAATAATCGCGAGGATGATTACCGTTCGCATAAAATTCCTGCGATTATTCGATCGGAGTAATCGGGACGATGAAATATCGCCGAGACCAAGGGCGCGCAGCGGCAGAATTCAAACGTCCAGTGAACTGCATATCACGGCGGAATGCGGTTGCCGTTTTTCACGTAAAATCTGCAAAGGGCGATCGCTCTGCGTGGCAATCAAATACTTAAGACGATGGTGGAGCCATCGCGCCACTTTTCGCCATAAATCGAAAGAAGCACTTGGCACTTTTCCGTAATATCCCCACGCGATGACCCCTGCTACTCGAGCGACGAGGATGAACGGAGATTTCTCGGCATAAATCGCGCGAACCGTGATCGCGTTGCTCGCCACTTGTCGATGAACATTTTTCCAATGACCCCTGGCACCGAAACGGTTAACATGGTATAGTAACGCAAATATCTTGTTCTCCAGCCGTTCAGACACTGTACGAGGACGGCAGCGTTCATCCGTTATGGCTGTTGTGGCTGGCGGTAGCTCTTGGCATTCTATTCCTCATCATGCTGATAATCAATATATTCCTCTGCTCGGCGATGACCTGCAGCTGCACCAGGACGGACATTATCGAGAAGGAGCCATCGATTATCGAGGACTACGATCCGTATCGTAGCTGGCACGGCTCCCAATACGGCTCGAGGTTTGATTTTATTTCATTTTTCAGCCACGTCTCACAGTCCGTGCCCCGAGCACGGCCGAATGATCTCTTGAAATTCCGCGGAACTTGTAATTACCCCGAAGGCGAGAGGGATTTTTCATTTCGCGTTAAAGGGTAATTGAGATGTTCGGGAAACGGGGATTCTAGGAATGTGCGTGCCTCAAATTGATTGAAACGCGGTAGGCGAACAGTGAATTCTTTCCACCGATTGCTAGCTTTGCACCGAGCCATGTAATGGATGTAGCTCACGTGAGTCGAACGAGCGTTCGAGATGCATGGCATACTTGCATTTTTTTAATCGATCGCTTTAACGGATCCAACGAGTCGCCAAATGCTATGCCGGTGTGCGTATAGTTGCTTCCAACGATATAGCGTGCTCGTAAATTACTGTATTAAGCAGCCGTACAGATTCAGCCTGAAATAGCATCGTTAGACCCATCCAGTGCGAGGATAATTCTGAATTCCGAATCGTTTCGCTGATTACTGCTCGCTGCCGATCTACCGCGGTCAATTCTTGTCTAGTTTCTCGAATATCAAAAGAAGGAAAGAAAAATGAAAATCACGAAGGAAAAATCCATTCCGAGGAGTCAGAAGGCTTCTGTATTTAAATTCCATTCGCTATACCATCTCAGTGTCGTTCGAATCATCCGTACGTCGTGTCTCATCGTCGGATGCATCGTCGGTTTTAATTATCCTCGTATCGTTTTCTATATCTGAAGCGACAATCCCGAGCCTACGCGTTTGATCCACTGACTCATTGTCAGCGCGATTATTTTTAGACAACGATGGTACAAACGAGTGAATCATTGCCTGTGTTTAGGTACTCCTTAAACGGGAAGCAAGGATACGCTTCCGGAGGATCGACGATGAATTCCACGAGGTCGATATCGACCAACAGCGACCACTACGCCATAGTCCACTCCAGGCCGGGGAGCAGATACTCCGGGCCAGGCCAGAAGCACCATCATCATCACAGAGGGCCGCCATCGAACATCGGCTCGCACTATTCCGGCAAATAATATCCGCCGGACTTACGTAACGCAAACGGAGGTGGAAAATATGAGAAGATAGGACGAACTGTTATTTTCATTAACGTCTCGGACATAATTCAAGCTCTTTTGTAACAACGCAACCACGCGTAACGGGTATCTAGATTCGTTAGAGTCATTGCTCACGCTGTTCAAAGACAAACTGCTATGGATGAGATGATAGACAATGGTTGATCCTTGACTCGAAATAGAAGCGTGCCGACGCCTCGCCGATCATTCGTTTAAACGTACTTTCAACGAAGGAGCAATCACCGCTTCGCTGTTCGTGAAATTGATTTCGCGTTAAGGATCGACTCGCGTAGCTCGACACGTCCTCGATAGTTACTACCGGCATGTCGCACACGTAGCACGGTCCCAGGTGGCTGCCTCGTGGTGCATTTCTCTACCAACTGTTCGAGAAACGAAAGAGCTATCTCGCGCCAGCCTCGAAGAGGCGGGCAAAGACCTCTTCGAGGAAGATCGAAGCGTAAGCAAAATGCGCGCGAATCGCGAGCTATGGCAATCCGTTCCACTTATGGTTAGTATTCTTCGTAACGAGAGACGGTTCTTCAGGCTAGATCGTATATGTATCATATGATAGTCATAAACATAGGTACTTAGCATCCTTCCTTTTTTTATAACACTGCGCAATATCGTACTTATCTAAGCGGAATTAGACGAACGCTTTTGTACATAAATTCGTTAATCGGAGACACGGTCCATCGCGATCAGCCACTCGCGTGCTTCAATTCCGTCCACCTGGGTGTAAGCGTCATCGTCGCGAGCGAAATTTGTATTTTGTATAAAAAAAAAGAGAGAGAGGGAGAGAAAAGAAACGGAACGAAAACGAAACGAGAGGTCTGCGAGTTGCAGATAAGAGAGACAGGAACAAGGCGTAGACCAAGATTTTCGCTCTGTCTCGTAGGCACGAATTTTTATTGTAACAGCTCAATGAAACATTCCATGTTCAACGAGTCGCAAGTACACGCCCTTTAAATACAGTAAAAATGTGGAAAAATCTCTGCTCACCGTTTATTCTACCCGGACCCATCGAAACTTCCGCTCTGCCGACGATTTCAGAAGCCAACCGACGAACCTGCCACGGGCAACCGATTTAATTTCATTTTCGTTGATAGAAACATAGTGGATGCTCGAGCAGGTTGAATTTCCTTTCTGTTTAAACGTAGCTTAATCGTGGTAAAAGCGAATGAACGCCGGAACGAAAGGTGGATCGCGTGACTCGACTACTTTGCGAGGAGAATCAGCCGTTTTGAAATATCCGAGGTGCAGTTATTCCGTAATTAAATCTGTGCGCGTTCGCAAGATGAAATTATCGGTAAAAGTGTGCGACCCTGGCTGTTAGGGTGTGCTGCATACCAGTCGTTCATGAATACGTCTTGTCACGTAAAGACGCGCGCGCATTATTCGCTTTGTCATACTAAATACCTCGGCGAGGACGCTCGCTGGACACAGGTACGACGGAGACTGCAGGAAACGCATTTAAAATTAGAAAGTCCTAGACGATCCACCATTTTTGCTGTCCGAATTCACCTGGTGAAAATAGACTCGAATAAATAAAGAAATAAATAAACAACACCGTTGGGAATACCGTTGAAAATATCTGACGCGAGATGAAGATAGCGAATGCTATAATTTTCGCAATTTTCCAAATAAATCCAAATTGCTTCGCGGTCAAAGAAATCGTGCGAATGTAGAACGAATTTAGTTTCACAGAGAAAGGTTAGTAAATACCGCTTCACACTCGAAAGAATCGGAAGAAATATTTTTAGCACATCTGCTAAATACAAAAATATCGATATTTACTGTTCGTTCGTCTAAACCTGGCAAGACAGAAAATTCTTCCACTTCGGTGTATGAAAATACCCAAGAAATTGTTTTAAAAAATAAGAAGCCACGTCGATTCGATTTCTTCCGTCTATTCGAAGTTCGTAGAAAAGAGAAGAAAAATTGTAAATTGCTCGTTGCTTCTCCCATGCGACGAAGTAAGGGCTACGCGCAACGTAAGGAGAATTTGCATACGTTCCATTAATCCTAACCCGAGCCGACGAGCACAGGCTGCTGCTCGGTCCCGTCGTGTTCGATATTTTTAATCGACGTTAGAGGTAATGGTTTCGATGAAAGAACCGTAGAACGTTTCATTCGTTCGTTGTTAAGCCGTTAATTATTCGGAAAGGATCACGTGTCCGGGTTAAGCGTACTGTTTTCTTCTGGCTTAATTGAGTGAGTCCGGGTACCGCTAGTTTTGCAACTTCATTTAACACGGAACTTGTTAACGTAAACGATAACAGTATTCTAGTTTCTTGCATGGTCGTTGTCCCCGGTTTTTAAGAAAGTTGGGTCAACGTCTTGTCGCGTTGCAGCGCGATAAAAGAACGAAGCGATCCTGCGCGGCGTGCAACGGGACCTATTAGGGTTTTTGTTCGTCCTCGTGCGGCCAGGATAGTCTAGAGCTTTTAAAAACAAATTTATTATCAAATGTACATCTTTATCCGACAACGGTGTATACGCGAATTACTCGCTTAAATACTACCTGTACAGAAAACACAAAATCTCATCGCTCCTTGTGGACGATGACCGCAGGATCTCTTTAGGCGTTTCGTTACATAAATAATCGCCATCGCGAACACCGACTCTGCGATTAGTAGACGACTCTGGTCAAGTACAAACGACGCCGTTGTCACGGGTTTGCCATGGAAGGACGATGGAATTCAGCGAGGATCCCCGATCGGTACTCTCGCGAAGGTCTGTCCGTAGATCGCAGACGATTCGCCGAAAGCGTGTTATAAATAAGTTAGAAATTAAAAAGGGAAAAGAGAATTCGTAACGAAAGCGACACGCGATGATGGGACGTTGAAGAACTATGATCGATGGAACGTCTGGAAACTGATAAATCAATACTCTTTCACTGCGAACGTCGGGTTAAAATCCGCGAGTAAATCCTCGGGAATAAATATCGATCGCTTCGATAACGCCCTGGGGAACCTATTAACAGGTGAAACACACGGAACAGCTGCGACGAGTTGGTCTCTGGGAAATACAAGGCTGTCCAATTAAAGCGCAAGATCTGTAAGATCCCGGAGCACAGGATCCACGGAGGATCCAGCTCGGAGGACGATCCACGTACGCGTTTCATCTTTCAACGATGCCGAAGAGAATATCGCCGGTTCGCGGTTGCTGCTGGAACGCAGCTCTAACCTCTTCCTTCGCCGTAAATTACGCGAAATAAATTACGACGGTTCCGTGGCGAATCGTGACAACGCCAGGAACACTCTGTTCCACGCAAACGATACGCGTCGCGGTCGCGAGAAAGGCGACGCTGCGTTGTCTATGCTGGCAACGTTCACCTCGTTAACCCTTCGTGGTGACTACGCATCGCCGCGATTGAGTATTTCGTGTTTTAATGGTCCGTCGAGTGTATTTAGCGAAGCGAAATAGAATGGTTTTATCTACAAAAACGCGAGCATCGTGACACGGTGCACGTGCGTTCGTGGTGAGCGAGAGCAGCGAAGTGCAGCTGCATCGAGCCACGATCGCTCAGCGGTCATCAAGCGTCGTAATCGTGAGTTGAGAGTAACTGTTTTAACAATGTATTCCCCGATCTCATGATAGAATCGAAGAAAAAAGGAAGGAACAGGGGAAGAAAAGAATAGAGAAAATGGAGGCACCGTGGATAGACGTAGAAAGTACACGAGTGATTTACTCTCGCAATCAATGTCGATTCTCGGTTTGGAAAATGGTGACGAACATGTATAATAGAAGGTATACGACAGGTATACCCGATATCGATGTATAGCTGATCGAGTATCGATTCGAGGATTCGATGTTCGCGATTAGGCCAATAGGCGGCTCGCCTCCTGTCAGACTCGGAGGGAACCAGGTGCGCGAGGTGACGTCGAAATTTCGCGCTGAGCAAATAAATAGCGAATGAAATAATACATCGTCGATCTCTCTAAAAGATAAATGGGAAAAAGGTTAGCGAAAAATAAAAGGAAAATACGACGCGGCCTTTTACAAGCACGGCCACGTCGCGAATCTCTTTGCACCACTCCCGTCTTCCTTGACACTAATCATCTACGGATATTTTTTGTGTTTTTCATTTTCCTCCACATATTAGGTAATAGCTAAGAAGTTTACCTTTAACTGCACTGTAAGATACCCTAATTGCACTACTTGAAATGCTGACAAGGACAAGAACGAAAGCCAACGCGCCTGTAGTTTTGCAGGCACGAACTTCCTCCCTAACTAAAAGGCCACTTTAGGAACCTGGACTCGATCCAGCGAAGCGTTCCGTCGTTCGCGTCGCGCCACTTCGCTTATGCCCGGCAGCCGCGATCATCTGGCATCGAAACGGATACGGGTTTCCTTAAACAGCGTTTCTCTAATGATCACCGGATCCCGGACCGTATCACGGTGAAAGGTCTCCGCGGTACGCATTGTCTTCGCAGATTCCTCCGCGCGCCATTTTGCTCCCCGACACTCCCACGTTAATGTCTCGTTATAGCGTTTAACGACTATTTCTACATTATTTACACAGTTACAAATGTTAGCGACATTCGCGCGTCCATGCGACAGCTCGCCGGATGCTTTGCGCCGTGTTCGCCGGCGTCGCGTTCCTCGTTCGCCTCGTCTTCTCGACCAAATCACGTTGATTAGGTGAAATCGTCCGATTCGGAGGAGGTTGATCCGCGCAAAAGTGGCCGAGTAAAGCATCTAGGACGTAATAAATATCGGCTGTTTGCCAGCGTGCAAGTCGTTATCGCCTCTCGAGGGAACGATCGCTATTGCGGCACCAAAAGCGGTATCGGTTCTTCGCTGATCTTTCCTCCGGCACGTAGGAACACCGCGACTCTCTTCGACTCTCTCTCTCTCTCTCTCTCTCTCATTCGCACTCTTTCACTTTTTCTCTCTTCCTCGCACTCTTTGTCCACTTTTTTCTCTTTTTCTTGTTGGGTCTCTCTCACGTAGAACGCACCCCGACGAACGACCCCCGACGAGAGGAAGATTTCTGAAATAGATTCGCTACAGCATACTGACTACTTTACAGGAATACGCTAAAAATATCGTGTATGCTTTGGACCGCCTCTGATCGCTGACTCTCCTCAGGATGCATCAGTGAAACGAGTCTAGTGTCAACGACGGGGGTGTGATGGGTGGTAGATGGTCCCCGCATCTAGGGAAGTTTGGCGGCACTGGTGGCAGATCCGCGTGCGTCCCCACGTGCAGAATCAGGTTCATTCCGATGAGTATGTGGAAGAGGAAGTGACAGTGGAACAACCAGTATCCTGAAAAAGGAGAAACGATCGTGGGTAACAGGTAAGGAACGACGATCGGCTCGCTGCCTTCTCTTTATTCCCTTTTTCAACACGAAGAAGAAGAGTCAGCTCGTTGCGCAATTTTGCTCACCTGGATTGTCTGCGCGGAACCGGAAAATGACGTAGCCGTTGTTCGGAACGGCAATAGTGTCCTTGGCAGGTGGCAAATTGAACTGTCGATTCAGAAGACCCCTCTTGTCGAGATCCAACGCGTGTTTCAGATTGATCTTCTTCACGTTCTTGTCGGGAGAGCGACCGATACCGATCACGTTGAAGGCGTATCCGTGTAGATGGAAGGGATGCGACAAATTCGGTTGTTGTACTGTGAACCATTAGACAAAATAATTTAGAAAATTACCGTTTCCGAAGTAAAACGTAATTTACGCAACGGGTGGAAGAAAAGGGGTCGATGACGCGTGGTGTACGCCAAGAGGAGAAGAAAGCGTAGATAAACGCCTAATAAATCTTCCAGAATCCCTTCTTTCCTCGTAAAATCGACTTTTATGACGAGTATTCGATATCTCGAGTGAATTTCTTTCCAACCCGCTGAATATAAACCGAGGAATTGATTTAGAAACGTACCGGGTTACGGCTGTCAACAAAGAATCGATACGTACATCGATTCCTTGCAGTTTCATGCCTGATAATATTAAAAAAGAATTATCAAAATGTCGTCAAATGTCTGCAGACCTGTTGCACTAGGCTATGACAGTAATCGTGAAGCCACGAAAAATTATTTTTAAAAATAATTCCAAACCGTAGAACGTTAACAAACGAGTCTATGTTCCGTCAAGGAGGATCAATCGTAGAATCGATATTCATGCATCTCTCGCTCCTCTTGTTACCTGTTATACATCCACAACCCATTACACGTCTCCGACTCTTTTCTTCTCGCCCTTCTCTGCACCCTGTAAGGGTACATGAAAATACGATATATGGAAGAGAAAAATCGTACCTTCATCTACGAGCACCACTTCGACGACCGCGTTGTGCGGGATATCAACTTGATGGGTGCACATGCAGTTGGCGCCGCAGTCAGCTGGCCTGTTGTCACCGTTGCAGAACTGCTCAGGCGGGATGTCGTCGATTTGCGAAAGCGGAGGCGCCGGCGGAAATGTGAACGAGATTTCATCGACGAGAGAGATTACGTGATCTCCGGTCGGGGCGACTGTGGGGAGCACAAGGTGAAATGATAAACGCGGCTGGAGCGCGTTTGAATTCCGATTTAATGGATTCGATGGTAATGAATGCTTGCGACAGAGGACAGGAAAAAGAAGCTATTCTTCGAAACCAGCGGCCGTTTCCTATGAAGCAGCCGTGATTTTGAAATCGACCGTGCGCTTACCCAAGAACCGATTATACGTTTGCGGCTGGAACACCTCCTCTGGCCTGTAGAATAGGAAGCGGAACGGCAAGAATATTTTCACGTCAGGACGCTGCTGCAGAATTCCTTGGTCGATCTGTCGGGAGTTCTTCAGCTGGCTCACGCAAATCGCGTCCTCCCGTTGACGATTGCAAATCGCGTCCAAGGGGTTCAGTACCTGGAACAGAGGGTGCATTCGTCAGTGAGAGGAAAAAATTCAGTCTCCTTATCCGCCAGTGGTAACAAGCAATTCGCCGGTTTCTGCGTTACCTGTAGCTGACTAGTTTTTTACTACCTTATATACTGGTACTTGCGGGGTGTTCGTCGTAACAACCGTCGCGAATTTTTCTGCGCTTTCTTTTTCTTTTTTAATCGTAGCTCGTTTAACCCTGCAAGCTTGTTACGAACGTGTCTCGTTTTACGGATCTTTTACCCGGGTTCAAGACTGCATATCGATACAGAAAATAAATAGCTTTGTTCGAACAAAAATCGGCGGGAAGCTATGACAAATTACAGTAACCGTGATGATAAAATTAGCTTTTATTTAATTAAATTTTAAGAAATTAGTTTGATATACGTATATACGATGATTGCAAAAGTAGTCTACGTTACGTATGCTTCGTTTCGAAATATTTAAAGTTCTAAAAATCTGAATGTCATCATCGTGAGTCAGAACATTAATTATATCAAAATTGGAAACTCGATCTAGCAGATCAGTTTGCTGCTATTTTGCAGAAATGGTTTTACATCACCGCGATATAAACGAATACACGTAATAAAATCGTTTTATTCCGATTTTTGATTGAGACACTTTCGTAATTACTGGCGCATGTAATATGTTGTGTAATTGATCGATATTTTGAATTCAAAAAGCGTTTAATGGGAATCGAAACACGTATTAACAACAACAGATGCAATTAATTGTAAGTGAGCTTGTAAGTATCATTGGATACGAATGATATAACATCTTCGACTTGCGTATTAATGAAGAAAGTTGTTACGTTTCGCGTTACTTTCTTGAAAGATTACACAAGAACATGTAAAAGAGTCTCATACAGCATCGTTAAATTTGTCTCGATATTACCTAATTAATATTTGGACACTTTAAGAAATCGGTGCACATTTTCATCAATTGAAACATTATCACTGACTCGCTCAATTTTCCTTGAAATACGAGAAACTACTCATCACAGTCCATAGATACAAATTTTACGTAATCACCCACAACTTTTGAATTATAAACGATAAACTATATAATAATAAAATTTAACTTTGCCAAAATATTCGGACACGTAGCAAGTTTAAATAAAGATATATACAGTGCCTGACAAAAAATCGGGTTAATTGTATGACCATTTATCATTCCTCCGCTAGCTAACCTCTATTCGCGACACTTTTTCGTCGCCTTATTACAGGTGTCTGAAAAAGCACGGCGATCATTATGCCAGACACCTTTTGCAATGAAAAAACCAGACATTACTCTCCGGCATCGAGTCGATTCTACCGTTCCTTAAAAGCAACGATCGAAAAAAGGGCCGAGAAATGACGAACTGCGATGAATAGAGACAAATAGAGACACTAATGCAATTCGGTTCGGGTAGCTAGCATGGCCGCTTGGAGAGCGTGGTAATTAACGAGCAACGAAAGTATCGGGAATTTCCTTTCGGAACCGGCGTTTGGGATATTAAAATGGCTAATAGGAAGCAAGAACTGCCGTATACTTACGACACCCTGTGGAAGACCAAAATCGTAAGTGGGCGCCGTGGTGGTTGGCTGATATGGTCCACGGGCGTACCGCAGTATGCCTAGCTGTTGTGCACGCGGGATACCGCACTCGCCGAGAGCACGAACTTGAATCCAATACGCGCCGACCGGTTGATCCGCATTTATTACGAAGTCGTATCGTTCGCCTGTAAATCATCCAAGTCGGTATTTACTTTCGCAACCGTGCCAATTAAAGAGTCTCGGGGGATAGAGCCTCGGCGCGCTTTCCCTTCGACCGAGACTCGCGAGGATCTCTGACCGGAGCGGAGCGCAGGGCCCAGGGGACGTTACCGGAGAACGAGATGATGGTGTCCACCGTGACCGGCTGCACTGCTTCTCCGTCGGTGGAGATCACCGTCAGGGAGTGACCTTCGAACGTAATCTGAGATGGACAGACCGATCCGAAGGAATTGATCAGTCGGAAACGATAACGCCGACCGGGAGTTATGGTGAACACCTCCAGGGGTGTGTTCGTCATGAAACCGGTGTTGGGATCCTGCGGACAGAAACGAGTTTTAGAGTGTCTCGCGTTGTTTACGATGCTCGATCGCCGCAGTACTCCGTTTCGGGCATCGAGGTTTCTTTGCGAGGCAGCAGGGATCGGGAGAGAGTGATTGGAAATGGAAACAGGGAGAGGAGACTTAATTTATGGATATTATAGATATCACCTGGGAAGAAACGAGGTTCAGGGTAGCGAAGAAAACGGCGTGGAAGTGGGTTTCGCAGAATCGATGGCAGCTACTTGCGCGTGAAAGCTGGCTTCACAGATGTCTGCGCGAATTGCGCGTACACCCGAGACTCTATTTACCTGGTAGATGAGTCGGAGCAGTCGCGAAACGATCGATTCGCAACGAAATGTAAATACCGTGACGAGGAACTGCGTTCGACGAGACTTTTCCAAGATGGATCCGTTCGTCGGATAAAGGAACGAGACGAAGAATAGCTATGAGAAGATACGGGATTCGTACCCTGAACTGTCCTTTTCCATTGATCAACACGCTCTCGGGGGCTTGACCGGTGTTAACTGCTAGACGGCCAGGGAAACGCTCGGCCGCGTTCTCATGGAACCAGTCGCTGATGAGAACGACATGAGTAGTCAGATCGTAGTCGTAAAGGTGGCTGTTAGGGTCTTTGCTCGGCGGTTGACGTATTACGATACTTCCGTAGAGGCCGTCTATTTTCTGCAGTCCTGTGTGAGCGTGCCAGAAATGCGTGCCTTCGTTTCCAGCCATCCATTGGTACCTGTTTACAGGCACGCGATGAATGTCTCGAATAAACTTTTTAGAGGCAAGATTGTTTTGCAATTACCTGAACGTGCTACCTTCCTGAATAGGGCATTGCGTCACGAACGGTACACCGTCGTAATATTGGGAGCCTCTCTGCCACACTCCGTGCCAATGGATGGTCACTTCCATACCCTCGATGTGGTTCTCCACGTCGACCACGACCTTGTCGCCCTGACAGACTTGGATGCTGGGGCCGGGTACCATTCTATTCGCTGTCAAAATGCCTCGTTCCACGCCGTCTGCTAGCACGCACTGGCAGTCGCTCCAGACCACGTTCGTGGCGTTAGGGGTACAGATTTGGCACGCTCTACGAACGAATATAATTTATTCTCTATTCTACGATCTATTCTTAGCTGAAACATTAATTCATTCGCGTTGGATCACTCGCGTTTGAGAATTTTGGAATATTTCTTCGTCTTTTATTGAAACTCGAGTACGACGTGTCTTGACATTCGTTACGCTTTGTTTTCAAAAGAAATTAATTAAACAGACATTACGATGCTATTGGGCATATTTCGCGAATTGCAGAAATTTGCACGCACGTGTCACGCGTGCGACACACGCTCGCAAATAAATCGACGGGAACGAGTGATCGACACGGATGATTTTGGATAGAAAGAAGGTACTCACGCTCCAAGGACGGTGTAATACTCAAGGGTGAAGTGATAGTAGCATATCCTGGGCGGCTCGTTCTCGCGGCAAGCTCTGGCGCACTCGTCCGGCGAGGAAAGCGACGGATTTCGACGCAATTCAGCCGTGGCGCGCTCGCTATAATCGAGAGGCCTCGTCCTTGGTGGTCTGACAGTCACTCCTCGACTACCGAGATTGTCGATTCCACCGAAACCACTTCGAAACACATTACCAGTCGGATGGGTCTGCACCAAGCCATGACTCGAAGGGAAGAAGTTGCTGCTATCGTCGGTGAAGATGTTGCCTGTCTTAATGGTGGGTGTCCAGAAGGACGAAGCCGGTGTCTGATCGGCCACCACGTCTGAAATCGCGTAGAAAGGGATCAATGAACCTATCATCGCGTTAATAACCGACATTCCAGACTGCAAATACAATTTGTAGATTCGTGTATTTAGGAAGCCGATTGCCATAAATGAAGCAAAGGAATCCTGTCCAAATGTGCAATTGGGAAACATGGTTTCACGGGTTGCGAATAAAGGTAAAGACTCTAGTACGTGACCCGATAAAGAGAGAAAACTATCGGTAAGAACACCTAGGAAACGGTCGACAGGTGACCCGAGAGGTACTACATTTTTATCCTTTTTGTATCCGTGATAGTAATCAGTGCGCCGCGACGGAACGAGTACGAGATACACTGTAACAAACTCGGGTAATTAACGGCGGACAAACGATACGCGAATTACTATTTATAACAGATAAATACACGTTTCGACGATGCGCCAGTTCTCCGCTATAAACGTTACGACGTCGATACGGTGCACCATGCGCTATAACATAACTATAACGATACATCGGCTGATATCCAGCGCCGCTGTTACGACGACGCACGAAGCGGGTCGGCCGCGAAGAAAGCGGCGGGCAGGTAAAAAGATTCGAAAGGTTCTCCCCGGCGTTTCTCGCGATGCGTGTAAAAGCAGCCTGGCGATCTATAAGGAAAAATGGCCGCGATTAAAACGCGCTACCGACTTCTAATGCGCATTCATAGTCCTAAAAACGATCGTTTATCTCGGCGGTGCGCGCCGCTGGCTAGCTCGCCGCCATGTAAGTCGCGCGATTCGCCAGAGAAATTACTCGGACGCGAATTCTCCAGAGTCAAGGTGGACGTTATCTCGGGGTTATCTGCGCGACCCTCGCCGAAGATAGCCGGCGATCTCGTTGCGCAACGAACCAGGCCTATCTGGCCTATCCTCGATGGAACGTTTGCTCGTGCATCCGGGGAAAGGGGAGAGGAGAGGAAGAAAGAGAGGAAAATAAAAAGGAAAATTCACCGCCCTAGAAATCGAAGCCCGAGCGTATCGTATCGTTACTCAATAGGATAATTACCGGCAGGTACAAAGAGCGATTAACTAGTTAATTATGACGGTTACAACCGTGATACGAGCGCGAAGCACGCGGCCAGAATGAGAACGACGAGCGAGCCGCGATTAATTTGATAGTCACATTAGCAGCACGCCTCGCGTCTGCAATTTCCCTTTAATTATCGCGACGCTCGAGTGACTTTCGCGAGCGATTTTCGCAACTGCAGATGCCACGGCCTGCGGCCACTCGAAATCCCGATTATGGAACACTTTCCTGCCCCAGTCGTTTATTTCTCTCGCGTTATTATTTTCCCCGACTCTCGTCCGATCTCCATCCTCGGGATTGTTTCGCTTCGTTTGGACCGGTCCTGATCCGGAAACCTCCAACCAACCTCGTCGTTTCCACGCCGGATATTTGCAATAAATTTCGTCGTTGTTTCCCCGCGACGCGTTTCCCGCCATCTCTTAATCGAATTCGAAAGGGGTATAGAACGGCGAGGAAATTGTCTGGAACGGTTCGGTTTCAAAAACTCGTGGTCAAGCTCGACGACGCTTTGCGAACCGGTTCCGTCTGACGAAAAGAATCACGAGTACGGGGATCGTGGAAAAAATCTGCAGGAATTTCGGATTGCGCAGCATTCTGGAAGTAGGACTCCGGTCTAGAACACCGGTAGAATGTCGATCTAGGGTAATGTTCGCTCAATGAAAATCAGAAACGCCGCTGCACTTGTATCGCCGTATTCGTCCGTAGCCACGGTGAAACTGTCGATATCTCGCGAGTTTTCCGGGCAACTGGAAAATCGGATGTTTCTCGTGCAACGGACAATAAATATTTTACCGCGAAGAACGACACCGATGGAAAGCGGAGAAAGTCTCGGTTAAATACTCTCCGATAGAGAGTGGACGAAACATTCGACAAATTTGACGGCTCGTGCGGGTGTCTATGCAAGCGAGTACTATACTAATTGTCAATCCCGTTTTCGCGAACGTTTTCCGGAGTTAATTTCAGAGTCATTAGGGAAACGAATAATTATTCGTATCGATTACTTTCCTATAGATTGGTAGCTTAATTACTTGATCACCTGGCTCGTTAATTGACGTCTCAACGAGAGCTAGTTTTATACACGACTATAATTGTAAAAATGGTCTTACGTCGAAAACCTGAACGAATTTGAATTATCGGCCATAAATTGCATTATCCAAATCGCAAAACTTGTCTCGAACGTACATTCGTAATTACTATATACGTATGTATGGAATATGAAAATTGAAAAGGGCTTTGATTTGTTAAAAGAAGAAAATAGGTAACTCCGTGTATATTCAACCATCCCATAATATACTTTATACTTTTCGAGCGTTTATAGCATACCAAAGACGCCGATCCTTGTCTAATGCGATATTCTTTTACCCCTATTTTCGTACATGGGGACTTAATAATCTCGAAACAACGGTGTACAACGCTATTGCGCTCTTTTTACCGATTTCTGTCACTTCTAGATCGCCTAGCTTTACCGGTTCCGCGATAAACTTTCTATAACGAGCAGCTCCAACTTTCCCAAAAGCGGCTGTCTGCTTGGAATACGCCATCGCGAGAGGAAAAATTCCGAAACCAGTCGTTTCGACTAATTCAACGGTCCCACTGCTAATTAATAAAATTCCGAGCACATGATTGGCTCGATCGTGCCACGAATGCAATCGGAGAGGCAAAGGGGGTTGGCTCTCGATGTTTAACCACCCTGCGCAACTATGGACACTATGCTTAAAGGGTTATAGTATTGTAATTCAGCATTCTATCCGGTCGCACGCCAGGCGGTCGGCCTCGTCCGCGACTGGCACAGGCGTGCATTATTTACGACCCTGCACCGAACAGACATCGTGACGCAAAAATTCTTCGCGGATGAATTATGCCGCTCGCTTGGTATGCGAATTTTTTCCGCCAGACAGCCGCCGAGCATCTACGAAGCTTCGAGCTCGCGTACGGCTCTGAAAGCTGCCATTTGTCTAAACTGTAACGTGACTTTCGCGGCAAACGCCATGGGAAACACGTCTCGCGAATTATTGCTCGGGGGTAGCTGAGAATCACACGACCGAGGGGGATCCGAGTGTCGCTATTTTCATTTCGTTTGACGCTAAACCTATCGCGATTGTTAAACGACCGATGGGCGAGGAGAGGAAAGAAGAAGAATCTTAAAAAGAATACAACAAGAGGAAATATCGTTGAATTATGTAGTATTCAATCCCGGACGAGCATCCGCAAATTCATCCACATATTTATGTAAGATCAGGTTACACAGTGGCTCACGAAAATATTAGGTCTACCGAAAAGTTCTGTCCGTTTTTAGAATAAAACAAAATAATAAATTTTTCATACATTGAATAAACTTTATTCAATAATATAATTGCCATCATTATTTATGACTTCTTGCCAAATATTGCCAAAATTTGACAGTATCATCGATCAAAGATGGTCGCCCAGAGCGTGGCTAATCAGAAAGATTGAAATCATCCACTTGAAATTTTTCGATAGAACATCATCTGCGTGTTCTATCAGAAACACTTTCAATAAATTTCTACACGCTTCTGTAGCATTTCTTCCTTGTCGGAATTCGTACGAAATATGAACTTTATCAGTAGCCATGGGTACATGATCACGTCTCACTGAACCCTTAACGAACGAGCGCATTTTTCTAGAACAATGACCAGTAGGTCGACGGATTTTTAAGAGATTAAGTGCTTTATTTCCAGAGCGAGAAAAGGTGCATAATTAATATCGCTTTATTGGATTTTATGGAAACTTTCAGTAATAATAGGTAGTATATGAACAGATATGTCCATACAAAAGGATACTGTATTGAAAATTTCAGAAAAATAATGGGAGTGCATGATGAAGACCGAACCTAACAGATTTCCTGAAACATCACGTCATGCCGCCTTTATGGCGGCATTCGATTTTTTTAGAATATTTACAATGTCGCGAGTATGGCGGCATTCGTTCGCTAAGGGTTAATACTAACATGAATCATCTTCGCTTTAGTTCATATGCTAGGTCAGTATGTATACATTCAGTGATAAAAAGATAGAGCCAAATATGCGTCAAATGAATATGCGCATATTTGTTAAAATTCGTTGTAACCGGAAGGGACAGAACTTTCCGGTACACCTGATATTAAGAGAGTATTCTAACTGAAAAATTCTATTTCAATGCAAGTGTACGTGTACGTACAGCATAACGAGTTACACGTGGATCGATCTTTTCTACTTGCAGATATTACTTCACGTGAGTGAAATCGTTACTCGAAGTTACAGTCCGATTCCTGTTTTTTCTTTAATGAAACTGCACAACGATGCGAGATAAAGGAAACTTTTCCAACGAAGAATGTTAACTTCTGGTGCTCAGTTATTCTCTAGTTAAAATTTGTCCGTGTTAGGTCCCGTTTAAGAATCAAAAAAATTGTTAAAACTTTAGTCCGATCGATTTTACCGAATAAGTAAACTGAAAGTCATTTTCTGCCAAGAATACCGCATGTATATCTGATTATGCTTTACGCGCACGCGAACTTTCATTAAATGCAGAATTTTAGGGTTAGAGAATTGGCGATATAAAATTAAGTACAGAACAACGTCTACGTGAGTCTACGTGACTCTCCTCGTGACTTGCTTCGACTTCCGGCCACGAAGCTCCAGAGAACACTGTCAAAAAGGATCGTCCCTCGCTTTCCCCGATTGTCCTTGAAAACTACCCTCACTCCGATTACCGAAAATCTCGCGGATCCATCGCGGCTGGTTTTCGTCCTGCCCACTCACTTTCTCTCGCTTTCTCTTTTATGGCCCTTTTCCGCTTACGATACTACGATTAATCATACGTAAAGTCAAGCGAACAAAGCGATGACATCGAATGCGGAATTTTAAGTGAAAAATTAAAAAATGGTCATTGGAACTGTGGATCAGGTGGTTGCTAATTTTCTGGTTATTAGTAAAGCAACTTTTCTACAGCATCATAGAC